ACTCACACCCTTGTGTGCACTCACACCCTTGTGTGCACTCACACCCTAGTGTGCACTCACACCCTTGTGTGCACATGCCCTAGCTGCACGTCCTGCAAAGACACTAGGTAAAGTGGCTATAAACACCTTCAAGGCCCCTATTCCAATAATAGGGTGAGTTAGATTCGGCTTTTAATGAAACTGTTGCATTTTAGTTTTAATTTCTAGCTTTCAAACTAAGCCATGCATACTTTGCTAGATACGTGGTTTGTATGTTATATATTCTCCCATTTAGACCTTAGAGAAGCTGAATAGTTGTACTATTACCTCTGTTTTGAGTATGAAAAAAAAAACTGCTACTTAAAGTTATACGTCTGGGAAGTTGATCAGGGTGCTAAGGCTGGCAACAGATTGTTTGTTGCCAGGGTCCATGTTCTTAACCAATTGAACGCTGTAAAGTGTTTAATCCATAGTGTTATCTGAAGAGCTTGTTAAAAGTGAAAACATCACAGAGGTTTGTCACCATGCTTGGCTACTTACACATATTTGAGTGATCAGGGGAGAGGAGAATTGAATTTTCAGAAATGTGCTTTTCCTATCACCTTGCATGGTGATCTACTTTAAAAGAAGTAAAACATTTTAAGTGCATTTTCTAGCCATTGCTCTAGAGGTTCTGATTCTATTGATCGTCAAGGCTAAGATTTTTTTATTTGTAACTGAAGGTTCTGATTGGGATTTTTGTAGAGACCATTAAGCCATGATGTGTTGGGACACGGCTGACGTAATCGTGTTAGAGAGACCTGAGGAAATATGGTTGGTCTCTGTAGCAGTAGTTTCTTTCACTGTTTTCCCAGCTCTTCTCTATGTGTGGTGACTTCTGAGAAAGCTGTGTTTTGGAAAAGGGGCTGTGTTGCCTCAGCCTCATATTCCCATTTGGTCTAGAAAAATGAAATGTGCCTGACTGTGCACTCCATCTGACCTTGTAATTTATGTGTTTTACTAAGGTCACCCATGAGACCTGTGTCCTCAGGGCTGTGTCACTGGTATGTTTAGTGTACATTGGTATAGGAGTGCTCACACAAATGTGTTTCAGTTATTTTTTAGTAGACTCTGACGGCAAGGTCGTGACGAACCAGGAAGGCGTTTTCCGCAGCAACTGCATGGATTGTCTAGACAGAACAAATGTGATACAGAGTTTATTAGCTCGGCGTTCCCTTCAGGCCCAGCTGCAGGTGAACATTGCTTTCTTGAATCTTTTATTGAAAAACAATGTAGTTTTAAAAAGGTGAAGGACCTTTACTTTTGAAACTGGCAACAAAAAGTACTGCACCCTAACCTGACCTTTTATTTTTGTGCCTTGCCATTATTGGTGTACAAGTTTTCCATAACTACCATCAGAGCACAGATGTGGTCTTTAGTTTGCCATTTTCCATTAGTATTTATGTAATCATAGTTTTAATAGTATATATTAAACTATAATTTATTAAACCATTTATGCTACTCTATTTTGGGGCTTTAAGTAATACTGTAGATAATGTATCTGATTTTAATATTACTAACTTGAATTATTTCCTTTTGAGTTTTAGTTTTCTTTCCAATTACTTGGATTAAGCTGACAAAGTCAATTTAGGGAGCAAGGATTTATTCTAGCTCACAGTTCCGGGTTGGAGTTCATCACTGTGAAGTGTTTTATGAGCATATTCCTGGGGACACATCAACAACTGTATATTCCTTTCAGATAGGGAATCCACAACAGACCAGAGTAAGGATAACCATTGGGCTTACTTACAAGAGTGTGAGGGAGGGTTACTTACAGGGGCAAAAATAACTCAGACACAGCTGTAGTCCCTAAAGCCCACCTAACACCAGGTGACGGCTCATGAAACTGCAAGCCCGGATGGTACTGCAGACTGAAGTCTCTTCCAGCCATCTTGGTGGTCTTGGGGGCGTCTCCATAGTCCTTACTGTTTACATAAATTGGGGAGGGAGGGTCAGTTTACACCTAGTGTATCTGGTCAGTTTCAGGGACTTGCTGAAGTTTCTAAATTGTTTACTTTCTTAGTCATTATGAGCTTCCCTGTAAGATGCAATGTTTTATCTTGGAGGAAATTTCATTTTGATACAGGGGTATCAAAGCATCAGAAACCTGAAGCAGCCGGTCACAGCCATAGTCAGGTGCAGAGAGACAGAATGAGTGTTTGCAGTTTTGCTAGTGTTTAGCTCACTTTCCCCTATTTGTAGTTCAGGACCCGAAGGAGTGGTGTCCCTCACTGTCAAGGTGGACTGCGTGTCTCAGTAGTGTGATCAGCCAGTCTACCTACAGATTGGCCCACAGGGTATCTTCATCCAGACAACCCCTCACTGAGACTCTTCCCAGGTCACTCTAGATTGTGTCAGGTTGGTGATTCAACTAACCTTGGGTTAATTTCCAGAAGTGGAATCACAGAATTAAAGAGAATCAATACACTATTCCTTTCTAAGAGGGTCCATATCAGTTTGTGTTGATGTCAGCAGTCGATAAGTGAATCCAGTCCATTGAACTCTAGCTGCATTAGATGTTTTTGAGACAAGCCTTGTCCTTTGTTTTGTTTTGCTTTTTGTTTCTGAAGCAGGGTCAATCTGTAGCACATGTAGGCTTCTAACTCCTGATTGTCCTGCCTTAGCCTCCTCAATTCTGAGCTTACAGACCTGTGCTACCATATCTGATTTAGTATATCAAATCTGTTTTGGAGGAGTAGGTCAGTTGGTAGAGTACTTGCTTAATATGAGTGCAGCTCTAGATTTGATCGCGCATAAAGTGGGTTTTGTGGTACATAGCTACCACTGGCTACATGAGACCCTATCTCTTCCCCCCCAAAAAAGACAAAAAAATTGTTTTTGTTTGAATCTCTTGTTCTAAAAAGGAACATTGGCTTCTTGATTAAAAGTTTCTCACATAATTGCTTTACTGTTAAGATTGTGCTAAGGAGAAAAAATAAATAAATGCAAACAGCTTTTTCTATGTATATTCAAATTTAAATATAAATTTAAAATAGCCTAGATTTCTAAATCACATGGGCATTTATTGTGAGGGACAAAGTATGTTCCAAATGTCTAGATAGTTTTTAAGTATTCAAATGACAGAATAAAAAATGACGATTTTCTGATACTCGGGAAATTTTGGTTTCTGCTTTAGAATGAATTATTCTTGAGTTATAAAGTAACTGTGCTAAATGAGTGATGAGCAGTCTCTAGTTTGTGCTGTACTTTATCAGTCTATTGAAGACACTTCAGCTGTTACTTTCAGTAGAAAAGGGTTAGGAATGGTTCGATTCCATGGCTGATTAAACAGAGCCTGCTGAGTAAGGCTCTATTTAATCCATGTAATCTATTTCACACAGTAGACAGTTTGGTGGAGCATAATGAACTTCAGAGCATCTTTGGGCAGAAGTCTTTGAGCCATCCTTGTCAGCTGGTGTGGGAACTCTCCCCAGTAGGGGCAGTTTTTGCCCAGTAAAAGCCACTGAGGGTGTTCTGACTCATACAGAGCAGGAGATAGTGAGGTGTTATCTGAAGTGGTTCAGGGGTTGAAGCCTTGAAACAAAATCCAAGATAGGGCTTCCCAGTATGTGGTTGGTAGATCCCAAAGAGGAGTCATTTTATAAAAAGCTGTGTGTGTGTGCGCGTGCGCGCGCAGTTTGGGCATAATGGATATGTAGCATTCATTAGACTCTTAGATGTCATTGGGTGGAAAGGTGTCAGTGACTTGGATATGGAAGCCTGGACTGGTAAGTGGTGAGGAGGGCAGAGGGTCAATGGTGTGGAAGGGAAGAAGGGAGTAACAAGTTAAGTCTTACAGCAGCTTTCACTGTCCTTTTTCTGCCCTTCTGAGTCCCACCTAGACACTGTTGCTCTCGTTCTGGGGCTTAAGTGTGGGTAGAGTAGCTTCCAGTAGTCTGTAGTGGATGGACAAGCGCTCTAACATGCTGAGGCACACCTGTGTTTTGCATCAGCAGAAAAAGAACCCCCATGGTAGGATTTGGGGACTATAACCTTTTCCTAAGTCAGGTCTGCTAAAGTCTTATCATAAATATGAGTGTGATTCTTATTCTAGAGACTAGGAGTTTTGCATGTGGGACAAAAGCTTGAAGAACAAGATGAATTTGAGAAGATTTACAAAAATGGTAGGTAATTTAATAGGAGCAAAGTTGTTCAAATTTTGAAATTAATATTTTGCTTTAGAACTTTAATTGGCACCTTAATCATTATCAGCTCTTTGTTTTTTGTTTTGTTTTCTCCAAAGCCTGGGCTGATAATGCTAATGCTTGTGCCAAGCAGTATGCAGGCACTGGTGCCTTGAAGACTGACTTTACCAGGTAAGCCACACTTTTAGCTTGTATTCCGTGTCAGTGGCTGGTAGTCCCAGTGCTTTCTGGAGTTCTGTGGTTTTGTGGTCAGCTTTCAGGAGAGTTTGGCAAGCCACGCACCTGGGCCTCACTAGAGCTGTCATGTCAGGATTGCTGGAAGATGAAGCTTGGGCACTGGGGGGCTCCTAGCCTCCTTGGGGAAGGCTGATGCACAGAGAGGGTTGAGGGCTCTATGGTCTGATCCCACAGGTGGGATCCAGCCTGGGAGCTGCACTTCTGCAGAGCTCCCAGACAGTGTTCCTGCTCCTTTCCTGTGCTCTAAGTGCTTTTGGATCTTTAACACACTGTAGAGATTCCCAGGGAGCAAGTGTGGTTTCTAGTTGCTGTGTTGTTTATACCTCCTCACAAAGGCTATACTTTTCATAGTTGTTTGTTTTGTTTTGTTTTGTTTTTAGTTAAAACTGTTTCACTCTTTTGTGTCTACTCCGGCAATGTTTTAGAGAGCAAATACAATTGACTGACCCTCTTATCCATGGGTTGTATCTGTGGATTCAGCCAACCACTAACCAGTGTGTTCATGAAAAAGTATTTATGATTGTACTGAGCATGTGCAGATTTTTTCAATATCATTTCCTCAATAATATAGGCTGATAGCTATTTGCGTCACACTTGCAATGTTAGAAATGATAAGAGGGTGTGAATAGGATGTAGTGGAAACACTACATTTCTTATATGAGGGACTTGAACATATGTAGACTAGTGTCTAGTACGGGTCTTTGTAGATACAAGGGGACAACTGTATTTATTTCTTGGGCCTACTAGTGATTTTTTTTCGGTGAAATGTCTGTTTTCAGGGATAAATTTTTATATATTTGTTGTTCATGTATTTTTATAACAAAGCTACTGTTTATAAAACTGAGGATTTAGTATACATATATATAATTTAAACTGGACCTTTTTAAACCAGAACTGGAAAAAGAACTCAGTTGGGACTTTTAATGGATGGCTGCAACTCATTATTACGGTATTACAAGAACAACTTTTCGGATGGATTTAGACAAGTAAGTTTGTATTTGATGTTTTTTTTGTTGTTGTTTGTTTTTTAGCATTGAATGGTTATATCTTTGTGTTGTTGCTCAATGTAGTCAAATCAAGTTTGGAAAGTTCATAGTTCCCTTTCTTTTCCAGGATTCCATAGACTTATTTCTTGGAAACTATTCAGTGGATGAATTAGAATCTCATAGTCCTTTAAGTGTTCCAAGGGACTGGAAATTCCTGGCGGTAAGAGACTATGATTTTCAAGATTGGAAGTATTGTGTCTGAAGGTGTAAAAAACCACCTCTGTTGAAAACATTGCATACTGTTGTAAATGGAATACATTCTTTTATTCCATTTTATTCTTTTATTTATTCTTTTATATTCCTTTTATTCTCTTTGGTCATCCCAAAGAGAAGACCAGAGTACAGAGAAAATAACTTTGAGTATTTTCCTTTCTTTCATGACTACCATAAATCCTTTTTGTGTAAGAACACATAAGGGACTCTGGAGGAATTCTTTCTACAAGAGAACTTCAATCTTTGTGTGGTCAGAGAATTGCTAGAGATATATTGGTAAATGAAAAGCAGAATGTGTCTGGGATGCCTTGCTTCTCTTTTCTCCTGTTTGCACAATTCTTTGCAGCCTCTCTGGGGGCCTCAGGCCAGATGGCAAAAGTGCCCTGGACAGAAGAGAGGTCTGTTTTCCTGGATGATCATTTGGCCAGGTTTGGAGCAGAAGCAGCATTCCTTAGATCCGTAACTTTTATCAGTACGAAGACCTAGGTCACTCTGATTGAACCCATAAATAGTGGTGTTTGATTTAAAAACAAAACCAAAAAAACCCAAAAACTTATGTATCTGAGCCTGCAGAGGTTTTGTTCTTTTCCAGGCTGGGTGGACATGGATGGTTTGGTAACCCTGATTACTTGTAATCAGCTGCCTTTCAATTATGCTTTTCAGTTGCCCGTCATCATGCTTGTTGCCTTTTCAATGTGCATCATCTGCTTGCTTATGGCTGGTAAGTGTACTCCTGCCTCGTTTCTTTCTTCATTCTTTCTCTCCTCTCTCTCTTTCCTGGAATTCTCTATGTAGACCAAGCTGGCCTTGAACTAAGAAAGTTCTGCCTACCTCTGCCCCCTGAGTGCTGGGATTAAAGGTGTGTGCCACTCTTTCAAAGTGATGTTGTAAATGTTGAGTTTTGAGGTCACTCAGCCTGTGATGCTTACAGTTACTTAGTGTAATGAGTGCCCTGGTAATTGGGTTTTATTTTGTCCATGTGGGTTGTGCTAAGCATCACTCTGCACTAAGACATCTCTAATTCCTAGTAGTTTTCTGTTGTTGTTATTAGTGGTAGTGGTGCTTCTTTGTTCAGAATCTCATTTTCTTTTTTATGTTAAATTAGCATACAGGCTATTTGATAACATTATGGCATTTTCAGACAAGATGTTTTAGTGATTCTCCTCACTTCTCCCCCACCACCTCTTCTTTAATTGTTATTATCACATGTAGAAGTCAGAGGATAATGTTGTGGAATTAGCTCTCCTTCCGCTTTTATATCCAGGGATCAAACTTAGGTTGCCAGGCTTGCAAAACTGGTACCTTTACCCACTAAGCCACCTGGCTTGCCCTGTTTTTTTAACTTAAGGCTTTAATAATGTTTTTTTCTTGTTGCCAAAATAACACATAATAGAGAAAATAATTAGGCAAAAATGAAAAAAAAAATTGTCATTCTACCTTCTAGAAATAAGCTAACCCTTCATAATATTTTTAACTATTATGTGTGTATATGAGCATGTCACTTTTGTAAGGCAGTGTGTGTGGTGGGCCATTTGCAGAGATTAGAGAACAACTTTGTGATGTTGGGTCTCTCCTTGCTCTGTGGGTTCTAGGGGTCACATTGAGATTACCATGCCTGTGTGACAAATGCTTTTACCCACTGAGCTGTTTTGCTGGTCCCCATTTATAATATTTTGATGTTTATTTTCTTTCTTGAGACAGGATCTCTCCGTTTAGTCCTGGCTATCCTGAAGCGTCTGTGTAGACCACCATCTTGGTAGCACCCTGCAGGTGTTCCTCCCTCACCTCCCATGCCCTTTTGTTCCTTCTTATAGCAGCCTGGCTTTCCACAACACTCTCTGTACTTTTCTTCTAGCATGTCCCTCATTAAAGTCATGAATGTGCAGAAGTTTATTGTTTAGAGGTACAATACTTTCCTGCTGCACCTGGTATTTTTCTGCACAGAATGACTTTGTCACATGTCTTTACCACCCAGTCATGATATTTTTGAGGCAGAGACTATTTTGTTTATTGTTTTGTCTGCTATGTGTGGGCTATAGTAAGCCCTCAGATGTTTTCTGAATTAGGGATTGCTATCCCACCACCATCCTAGTCAATGCCTAGTCATGCCTCATCAGAGTTTAGCACTGTAAACAATCACCATACAGTATGGTAAAATAATAAAATGTTGAGTAGAGGGAAAAAGCCATAGTAGCTTGCCATCCTAGTTAGCAAACTTCTTTAAAGAGCCAGATAGTAGAAAGTTTGGTCTTTATTTCAGGTAGTTTCTGTAGTACATTCTTTGACCTTCTAAAAATGCAAAATCCATTGTTACCTACAGTAAAAACAAGAAATGCATAGGAATTGCTTGTGGTATGATTGTGAGTCTGTGTCATGTTTTAAGGAAGGAAGGAAAGGGGACAAACCCAGTCAGCATTTTTTGTTGCTCAGAGGCCAACAGCACTCTCCAGATTCTCCAACTTATGTCTTAAAAACACTGCGAAGTGGGTGCTCGTCTCCTGGGAGCCACTCCCTATTAGATGGGCGGTGGTTATTGTTTTGTGTGTGTGTGTGTGTGTGTGTGTGTGTGTGTGTGTGTGCGCGCGCGCGCGCGCACTCACCATTAGTTAAAGATCTTCTGCAGGGATGATGCAAGGAATCCCAAGATCACAGACTGAGTGAATGGAGGGTTCCTCTCAGAGGTGTCCGATAGCTTATAGGAAGCTCCTTTCTTGGCCTGGAAGAAGCATGTGACACAGAACTTGCTGAGAATGCTTGCTGTCCTGGTTAAGTTTTTTCCCTGCAACTTAAGCTAAAATCATCTGGGAAGAGGCAATGTCTCTTGAGAAAATGCCTTCACTCCGATTGGCCTGTTGGCCAGTTTGTAAGGCAATTACGGATGAATGATTGATGTGAGATAATGGACTAGCACTGTGGGCAGTACCACCCCTGTGCACGTGGCCCTGGTTATGTAATGATGTAAATTGAGCAAGCCATGGAGAGCTGCTCATGGCACTTCTCCACGGTCTGTCCTTCAGATCCTGCCTTGAGTGTTTGTCCTGTCTCCCTTAAGTGACGGACTGTAAAGTGTGGGCCAAGTAAAGCCTTTCCTCTCCCACATTACTTTTGGTATGATACTTATCACAATAATAGAAATCACACCAAGACAAATCCCCAAACAAACAATTCTTTGCCTTTTGCACAACAACTTTTAAAACTTGAAGCTTTAAAAATTGATAATGTTGAAAATTTAGGGATCATTTTGAGTAAAAAAAATACTGAATGCTATGGATAGTATCGTGTCAGGTAACACATAGGGAGAGGGGTGGCCGATTTCCAGCCCTTGCTCTGTTTTTTTTTTTTTTTTTTTTTTAATTTTCTTATATTAATTACAGTTTATTCACTTTGTATCCCAGCTGTAGTCCTCTCCCTTGTTCCCTCCCAATCCTACCCTTCCTCTTCTTTCCCTATGCCCCTCCCCCAATCAACTGTTAGGGGAGGTCCTCCTCCCCTTCCATCTGACCCTAGCTTATCAAGCCTCAGCAGGACTGGCTGCATTGTCTTCCTCTGTGGCCTGGTAAGGCTGCTCCCCCGTCAGGGGGAGGTGATCAAAGAGCCTTGCTGTGGATTTTGAGAAGGAACATAAACTACTACAACCTCCGATGTGGTCTGGTTTCCATCCCTTGAACGTTCTTACTGGCCATTTGACTCACCATGTGTTTCTCTACAGTTGAGTTCAGCAGATGAAGGAGAAAAGGGAGCCAAGGGTTAGCTCTTCGAAGAGAAAAACAGAATAGTTCTTTGCTCCGTGGGTGCTGCTAACCGTCATAAACTCAGCCAGCAGAGTTGTGTTAAATGCTGTTACAATATGCTATGATCTGTCCAGTTAACTTTAATGTGTAACTTTACCAAAACACACATTCTGTAAAGTGTGTTTTATATAGGTATTTAGATATTATTGCATTGATCATAGAACTATGATTAAGTTGTTAGTAGTAGTTTCTTGTGTGCTACTAAAGCATTTAATCTCAATGATAGTATGATGTGTGTGGTAGTTTGAAAGAGAGTAGTCCAGTTCTTACAGTGTGGCCTCTGGTCACTAGTGTCAGTATCAGTGGAAACTTGTAATGGAGGCAACAAATTCTTAGGGTCCCACAGCTGATGGTTTATTGAGCCTTGCAGAATTGAGACCCCTTAAAGAGGTATTTGTATTTTTCCTGTGGACATGCTAGTAAACTTCAGTGTGAAGTTATGCTAGACAACTGACCATTAGCTATGGTATCAATAAGTGATGCATCATCTTTGTTTTTAATATCAACAGGTGACACATGGACAGAAACACTGGCTTATGTCCTCTTCTGGGGAGTTGCAAGCATTGGTACATTTTTTATTATTCTTTACAACGGCAAAGATTTTGTTGACGCTCCTAGATTGGTACAGAAAGAAAAGATAGACTGAATTTGTGTTTGTGGAAAGCGGCTTGGCTTGGAAGACTCCATGATGCAGAACTGGAGTCTTTACTGACCTGCTTTCCACATGAACCCCAAGGTCATCTTCAAGCTTTGATCCAGAAACACCTCTTGTGGTCTGGGCTGGGTATGTCTTAGAATTAATCTGATATTACTGCTTTGATGATCTCTTTACAGTTGGGATGGTTATATTTATAATTTGAAGCTATACTGTAATTGAAATGTAACTTAAATTCAGCTCACAAATCAGAAGTCTATTCACTGTCAAGTTAAATCAGAAGTTCACAGATAAGTAATATATTTTAAAAAGTTAACTTCTTTCATTATTTAAGACAAATTTATTTTTCTAGCTGTTTCATTATTGTCATTGTAAAGCAGTCACTATTAGCTAGCATATTTTCCATGTATCTTTGGACTTTTCTTAAAAAGTTTAATATATGCTAATTCTACTATGTTTATAGAATGTCTCAAAGTTACAATAGTTGTGGTTTCACAGGAAGGAAGAGGACAATGGGATCTGAAGTTGTTTTATAGTTTCTAGTAGCTGCCCTTGACTTCAGCAGCTGGAGCTGCTGTCGTGCCCTAGCAGCTTAAATGTCGTGAAAAGTTGAGATATATTTTATCTTTTTTAGAAGGTATAAATGAAATCAAATGAAATGTAAAGTCTGTCTCTTCTGCTAAAGGTCCAAAGTTGCCTCTTTTTAAGAACTGCTCCATTGTGGAAAATACACTAGACTGGACAGTTTCTTCCTCCCATATCTTGTAGGACGTTTTGTTTGTTTGTTTGTTTTTTCCTTTTGGGTACTCATTGAGACATGCAGGCCTCAGAGAGGGTCTTATGCTAGATTCTATTCACATTTGGGGGTAGCAGCTGCTTTTTGTGCATGGTACTCTTGCTTTATCACTCTGTCAATAAGTGTCTGAAATTTAGTGCTTCCAGGTAGCCATAGTTCTCCAAATCAAGGACCAACTTTAATTTATGCATAAATCAGACTGAAAACTACGCTTCAGAAGCTGTGCATAGCTGTAATTGTAAGACAGGTTCTATATTAAAATTGTAATTATGAGGTTTAGCTGTTACAGCAGTATATAAGGTAGTGTTACTGCACTATCTTAAAACAATTCGGCTAAACACTGCTGTGGCACGTCAGTGTTTGGCTTGAAAATAGGTAGGTTTTTTTTTCTAATTATAGTACCATATGTTGTCCTTAAATATTTCTATAAAGCGCCTTTATTTCAACATTACTTTTTTTCAACATTACCTTTTATACACAATAAGAGTTACTGCTTTTAGAAACTCTGGGAAAATCTTGTGTAGCTTAATCAGTCATTAAAACTCACAATAGGGTAAGTAAATAGCACCACCTGTTCTGACATGTAAATAGGTATGATTTGTTCCAAAGATGGACTATTGCCCAGCCCATGTCTGCAGTGATACATTTCAGCTACTGGGCACTTCACAGTGAGCACTTCATGTCAACAGCTATAGCAGACGTCAAATCTGAACCATTCATGCGGCTGCTTTGCAAGGACTAATGTCAGAGGGTTAGGCTGAGAGTGACCAATGTTTCAAAGCCCTGCAGTAATTTTGTTTAATTCATTTACTGTGCATCTATATGCAAAAATAAAATGGCATATTCTTTTCTAACCACTGTTGGTATTGTTTCTGTGTTTTTATCATGGGTGGCATTTTTTTTTACCTTAAAGCAATAATTGTTCATTATAGAAATACTAGTTACTATAAGTAAACAAGAAAACCATTAGCTTCTAACCTGTTTTCCAGTAATCACCTAAGACATTTTTTATCTTTATCTGTTATAGGTAGAGCTAGGACATTTAGTAATTATAATATTAAGTGATGTTTAATGTTTGTGAAGTATCTCTACTTCCAAATTATAATTTGTTTCAAAGTGATACAGGTTGCAGAATGATAAGGAAATATGGGTAGGTAAGATTGCAACTGATAAATGGGAAAACAGTATGTACTGAAAAATATTTTCAGGGCTGCAGATGTAGAATACTTACCTAACATGGACAGAACCCTGGGCATGATCCCCAGAACTCTATAAACCTGATATGGTGGCCCACACCTGTAATCCCAGCCCTTGGGAGGAAAGCAGGAAAATCAACTCAGAGTCATCCCCAATTACATAGTAAGCTTGTGATACATGAGATTCTGTCTTGGAAAAAAAAAAGTTTTCATAGAAAACAGAAAATTATCAGTGAGCTTGAGGGAAATACTGAGTAAACACCTTGCTGCAGGAAGCCCTTGCCTCTGTGGGAAATGAGATGAAATTCCTTGAAAATGGCATCCAAGATACATACTGTTACAAACAATGATGAAAATCCCAGCAGTTCTATTTTACCAATAACAACTCAGGAGCCAGACGCTGTGGTGAAAACCTGCTATCTCAGAGAGGTGGAGAAGGGTAACCAGCTAACCTTCCTTCTCAGCTCAGATCTGGATGGAAAAAAACCAAAAAGGCTCACTAGTACAACTGACAACCCAGGAAGAAAAAGCCAAAAAACAACAAACAAAACCAAAACCCAAGGCCAAAGGCTTGCTAGTTCAAAGCCCAAAAAAGCCAGAGAGCTGAGGTGCAAAAGCCTAAGCCAAAGACAGAGCTTGAGCTAAAGCTCCTTAGCTCTCTGGCTTTTTAGGCTTTGAACTAGCAAGCCTTTGGCCTTGAGGGTTTTTTGGCTTTTTTTTTCCTAGGCTGTCAGTTGTAGTGAGCCTTTGGGTTTTTTCCATTCAGACCTGAGCTGAGAAGGAAGGTTAGTTCACCCCAGCATTTGGCTCCTGAATCTTAATTGGTAAAATAGAACAGTTGGGATTTTTCATCATTGTTTATAACAACATTTGGTGCCCAGTGTGAGATTCAACCCCACAACCTGGTGGCACACGCCTGTAATCCCAGCACTCTGGGAGGCAGAGGCAGGTGGATCTTTGAGTTCGAGGCCAGCCTGGTCTACAGAGAGATTCCAAGACAGCCAAAGCTCCACACAGAGAAGCCCTTTCTCTTCCTCCCAAATGCTGGGATCAAAGGTGTGTACCTCTACCTTAGAATTTAGAAGGCAACTAACTTGTAGGGATCTGCCTGTCTCTGCTAGGATTAAAGGCGTGAGCTACCAGCACTCTGCTCAGATTTTTTTTTTTATCTTAGCTCCAAATTATTACTCAATACTTCAAATCTCTCATTTTTTAAATACCAGACAACAGAAGTATATGTATTTTTTATATAAGAAGAAAACTCAAGCCTTTATACGTTAGTTTGAACTAAATTACCAAGCTATCTGATGAACTATCACCTCTTTATTCTGGAGATCTCTCTTGTTCAAATCTAATCTTTATCAATTTAGATGGTATCCATAGTCTTTCTTCTGTAGAAACAAAGGCAAAACCCCTTCCCCAGCATAACACATATCCTGGTTTCCATTCTGTGGTCAACACATCTTTAAAGTATATAGGCTGGTTTTTTGTTTGTTTTGGTTTTTTTAATTTTTATTTTTTTAATACTAATCACAGGTTATTTACTTTGTATCCCAGCTATAGCCCCCTCCCTCATTCCCTTCCAATCCCTCCCTCATCTCCTCCCTGTCCCTTTCCAAGTCCACTGCTAGGGGAGGTCCTCCTCCCCTTCTATCGGACCCTAGCTTATCAGGTATCTTGAAGACTGGCTGCAATGTCCTCCTCTGTGGCCTAGCAAGGCTGTTCCTCCCTCAGGGGCCGAGGAGGTAAAGGGGCCAGTCCTTGAGTTCATGTCAGAAATAGTTCCTGTTCCCCTTACTAGGGAAACCCCACTTGGATACTGAGCTACTATGGGCTACATCCGAGCAGCGGTTCTAGGTTATATCCATACGTGGTCCTTGGTTGGAGAAACAGTCTCATAGAGGACCCCCGTGCCCTGAAATATTTTGTCTTTGTGGAGCTCCTGTCCTCTCCCAGTCATATTAACTCCCCCTTTTATCGAATGATTCCCTGCACTCGTACCAAAGGTTTGGTTATGAGTCTCAGCATCTGCTTTGATATAGGCTGGTTTAATTCAGCATTTTTTTCCTATTATCCAATGTCTGTCTGCAGCTGTTGTTCTTTTCATTAGCATTTTAAAAAGTAAAACATAATAAAGCACTATGTAATCTCTCTCTGGGGGTCTTTAACATACAATGAATACATGTTTATGCATCTGTGTATGTATGTATGCTTTGTACATATGTACAGTGTTTTCATATTTACTTTTGTGTGGGTAAATGCTTTAAAGATTTATTTCCGTATTTCCTTAATTCATTTCCCTGGGTTCTTAGTGAAGTAACTTCTGTAAAATGTGATAGGTGATTTGAATGTATTGTTCGCTCACCGTGAGAGAAGGTAGACCAGCTCTCAATGCCCTCACCATGTTAGATAACCTATCAATGTAATGTTGTTTTCACACTTAGCACCTTAAAGCAACCCATGCTTGCTTGTCTTCATTGTCTCAGTTTCTCTGATTCGGGGCATTCCACAAGACCACAGTTAAGATTCTAGTGGAAGCAGGCAGGGTCCCTTTCACTGTCGCCAAGATTCAGGTCCTCCCATGCTTGTTGGGCTGACCTTGCTGACGAGACCGAAAGCCAGTCATTCTCTTCAGACAGTTTTATCACAGCCAGCAGTTTTAGGTCTGCAAGCAAGATGGAAGTGTTGCCCATGACTTTGCCTGTATCCTTTGCACAAAAGTCGGTAGCTATAGTTCATTCAAGCGGAACAATACACAAAAGGCCCAGGAGATGGGGATCTTTTGGGAGGTATAGGAAGCATATCTCCTGTTGTCATTAGAGAACAGTAGAGAGGTAGAGGGCTAGTGTCTTAGAATTGGAGCTTCTTGGAGGATGTGGAACTTAACCAGGACAGAGGTAAACCAACTTCATGCAGCATATGGCAGGTAAGTTCAAAAGGAAAGACGTGCTTCTGACCTTGACCTGCCGGGGCCTCTCACTGAAGTTAGCGCTAGTGTTCTTGCCCCTTCCCACCAAGATTTATTTGTGTGTGTTGGCTGCATGTATGTCTGTGCTCTACATGCGTGTCTGGTGCCTCTAGAGTCCAAATGTGTGTTCAGTCACCTGGAGTTATTGACAGTTGTGACCTACCTGGTTCTTTGCATGACTAGCAGGTACCCTTAATCACTGAGTCGTCTGCCTGGCTCTCGCATGCATGCGTGCCTTATGCATGGCCACACCTGGCTTTTTTCATGGATGCTGATATCTACTGGGATCCTCATGCATGTACAGAACTCACCCCCTCTTCCCAACCCTTTTTTTCCTTTTGTAGTTATACAGTGTCTTACTGTGTAACCCAGATTGTCTCCAAACTCGTGATCCTCCTGCCTCTGCCCCTCAGTGCTGGAATTATAAGTCTATTCCAGCATGCCTGTTCTCCACCCCCTTTTTGTTGGTGGTGTTATTTAATTTTATAAAAATTTTTCTTATGTATCTCTATCCTTTGAACTCAGTCTTCAGTGGTTTTCTCTGGAGTTCATAATCAGTCTCTATTGCTTGTGTGACAGGGCATGTGTCCCTGGTATACTGTCACTCTTTTTGTTGGTGCAGTATGAACTAGCATCTCATTCTGCCACTCTAAGCATTGAACAGCTTTTCATAGTTGTGGTTTTAATTGTCTGTGGGCCTTGTTTGGAGTATGTTGTGGTCTTTACTTGTTTCCTTATATTTTTAAATTCTCTGTGTTCTGGAAGGGAATGATATGTTAAAGTGAGTAACCATATTGCTTTCCTAGCACCTTTTGTGCTTGCTTCCTAGGACAGCTTTTGACAGTGATCACTTCTAGGTTAGAGTGTTATGTCAGGTGGTCCTTAAATCTCAGTGGCTTGGTTTTGTGTTTTTTTTTTTTTTTTTTTTTTTTTTAATTTAAAAGGTTTATTCCATCCTGTGCACCCTGCAGGTTTGGCTCTGCTTCCTGGCTCTCACAGTGACAAAGCTAGCTTCTCTTCAGACATCTTCAGTGGTCCTGACAGAAATACTAGCCTCTTGCTCACATTTCATTGGTCAAAGCTGATAACATGACCAAACTAAAAGTTACTAAGGCCTGGGGAATCTCCTGCCCTTGGGGCAGTGTGGGATGTCATTAAGCTTAGTTGCTTACTGAGAATGTTGGAGCCCTGCCGTGCTGATTTGAAGGCCAGGTTTTCCTCTGTGAGTATTTAGGGTTTTTTCTTTTGTCCCTATGTGTTGTCATTGCTGAGAGCCCTTCTTGGGCCTCTCATATGCCCTGAGTCTTCCAACCTCCTCAGTCTGTTCAGCAAAACCCTTTTTAGAATGCACTTTTTCTAAGTGTGCTGGCTTAATATAAGCTTTCTTTTTAAATTTTCTTTTTATTTTAAAGGTTTATTATATATACAATGTTCTGTCTGCATGTACACCTGCACTCCAGAAGGCGGCACTCGATCTTATTATAGATGGTTGTGAGCCACCATGTAGTTGCTGGGAATGCTCTTAACCTCTGAGCCACCTCTCTGGCCCTAATATGAGCTTTCTTACACATTATTTTATTTTAAACCCAGGGATCAGTGATAAGAACTGTCAGAAACAGTGGTTTAAACACAGTGTTGTGTAAACGATAGGACTTTGAGAGAGGTTTGAAAAGTGACTCCTAGAGCGGGTATATCGAAGCATTTTAATCTCAAGTCATCAAACATCACAGATTTTTCTGTGGAATTCATTCTGGGCAAGGCTAGCGTAGTATGAGTACTCTGGCCTTGCAGCTGTAATCTGTTCAGTTCTCGGTCGCGAGCTGAACTTGTACACATCCATCACTGCATGTGCATGAAGAATCCCAGGTATGACAAGGAACAAAGTTTAATTTCCTCCTGACATTTTTGTATATCGCCTCATGTACCTAAAAACTTAAACTGATCCAAAAGCAGTCACCCTGTACCATGTGGGTACCCTGTTGGCAAGCAGATTGCACAGACTTGGTCTCCTAAGAAGTACAGTGAAATTGAAGGCTACAAAGTGCCAGTCTTCTAAGACTTACAGAATCAATTATCTTCAAAACTGAGCTTGAAAGCCAGTGTCCATTGATGGAAAGAAAGTTTCAGATGACCCTCAGGACTGGCACAGGAAGGAAAGTCCTGATGAGAGACGTATATGTTTCCAAGGGTTTCATCTTCCTCACACCTAGTTTTCAATAAAATATATTGTATTTGAGGTTCACAACATAGTTAGGGGATATGCAGTTAATGTATAGTAAACTAGAGCACATAAATGTACTATCTCACAGTTTTTATTAACAGTAAAATCAGATTTAGTAAAAAATCTCAATACATTTTCATTGTATTGCATACAGCACTCTAGATTTTCATCTTTTACTTCTGTTTTGTATCATTTGATCTACATATACATCCCTCACAAAGTACCTTCCTCCTTGTGCCAGCCTCAGGAGTCATCTGCAGACTTCTTTCCTTCAGTGGATACTAGCTTTAAAGCTCAGTTTTGAGGATAGTTGATTCTGCTCATTATTTTCCCCGTTCTCTGCCACAATGAAGCAAGAGTCAAGTCCATATAAGGGAATATCCATTAGACAATAAAAAATTTATCAGTACATTAAAACTGCTAAAAGAAAGAAACCTGCCAGTCAAGAATACCACCAGTAAAGTTATACTTCGGTGATGAAGCAAAACACTTGCTCAGACAAGAAAAAAACAGAGGAAATTGGTCATCATTAAAACAGCCTTTAAGAAATACTGAAAGTTAGCCAGGCACCATGGCACACACCTGTAATCCCAGCATTCAGGGAGGCAGAGGTAAGTGGATTTTTCTGGGTTCAAGGCCAGCCTGGTCTATAAAGTGAGTCCAGGACAGGCAAGGCTACATAGGGAAAGCCTGTTTTGGGGGGAAAAACAACAACAACAAAAAAAACAGAACCTAAAACCAAACAAAAAAATACTGAAAGTTCAGGTATGGTGGTCCACGTTTGTAATCCAAGCCACTAGAGGGAGTGAAGTAAAAGGGCTATATGTTTGAACCCAAGCTAGCAATGGCTATTCCCTTCTCGCCCACCCACTCTGCAAAGGAAGGAGTTAAAAACAAAAGGATGATTATTGTTATAAAAAAGTGTATGCCTGGCGGCACATGACCTATTGTGCCAGGGAGGCTGTGGCAGGAGGGTCATAGATTCCAGCCTAACCTAGGATACATAGTTCCAGACCAGCCTGGGGTCCACATATACCAAGACTTCACCTCAACAAGAAAGTAATGTTACATGTAAATTTGTAATCCAACATTATTGTAATGGTATGTAAAGAATGAAAGCTAAGGGTCAAAAATTTTATCTACTATGAGCTGAATATATAATACAAAAGGCTACACATTTTTGCAACAAAAGTATAATGGAAGATAAAGAGTAAAAGCTGCTAGCAGGTGCCTTCAATCCCAGCAGTTGGGGAGCAGGTGGATCTGTGAGTTGAGGCCAGGCTGGTCTACAGAATGAGTTTCAGAACAACCAGTGTTACATAGACCTTATCTCAAAAAACAAAAAGTAAAAATCCTAAAGTATTTATTATGATCAGAGTTAGGTTTCTGTCAATCTATGATACAGAGAATTAAATTTTCTTTGCAGATTCAGGAAGCAGAAAATACTCTGGCTTTAAGAAGCAGCTGTAGAACTTCTATTGTTAACATACAGAAACTAGCTGTGAAACAGCGAGTGAAGGTAGTTCTCAGGCCACAGGAAACTTCTCTCTGCTCTTGAAGTGGCGAGTGACAAAAGTCCCCAGGGCTACCAGTGGAATGCACATGGTAGAGGCGGCTACCAGGAGCCCAATGACAGCGAGTGCCTGTGTAGAGTAGTCCTTAGTCACCACACGGCCCTGCAGAGAGAGGCAGGAGAAACCTTTGCTAGTCCTGCTAAGACTGCTCCACCTCTGTTCCAGAAATGGAAGAGATGGTGTTAAGTTTGAGTGTGAAATACTCCCTCTTCCCCCAGACTTAGGCCCACTTCTCTATGGCTGGTAGTTGTTCTTTGAAAGGTTCTGGGTATGTGTTAGGAAGTAGGTAATTGGGGACTATTCCTTGGTTATCCAGTCTCTGGAGGCTTCCCCTGTTTTCTGTCTGTCAGGGAGTGGAGAAAAAAAAATGTCTTCCTCACACTCTTGTTGCCGTGATACTTAAGTCAGTAAAGCCCCTAGGAAACTATGACCCAAGTCTTTCCTCCTTGCATTTATTATATCAGGATTTTGTTCAGTGTGATAATAAAAGAGTCTTGGGTAGGAATGGGCCACAGGCCAGCTCTTCACAGAACCCCAGCATCCCCCGCACTTCACAGCAAGCCTGCACAGAAACATTCTCATCTTTTCTTGTTTACCCACAGAGCAAGCTATTTTGACATGTAAAGCTCTTAGATGGGGCTCCTATGAAGGAAGAACCTGTGTTGTCACCATCTAGGGAAAGGTGTGCTGGGATGCTGTGGAGGTGACTCTTACTGTCTCCACACTTCATAGTTAGACACCTCACAG